AGATTTGAAGGAAAGCATTTCTGGCCTGACCTGGAGCAATTGAAGTATCTATGGGAGTGGGGCCTGGCTTTAGATTTCTTTTAAAGAAATCTAGGTAATTCTAATGTGAAGCCTAGGTTGAGAACAGCTGTCTTGAATCTGTGATCCTCAAAAAGGGGTACCTGAATAAACAGCCTTGACATTAACTAGGAATTTGCTAGAAATGCACATTCTTGAAAACTTCTTCACACCTAACAAGTCAGACTTTAGGCAAATTTTCTAGGCTTTATTTAAGGTTAGAGAAGCACTACTAGATCAATCTTCCCATTTCTTTCTAGGACTCAAAACTAAAACTAAGTTTAGGGAGGGTATTTGTCATTGGAAAGTCTGTACTGACAATATTTGAAAGAACTGGTTAAGGGATACAAATAAATTGGTATTGCAGGTGTTCTTCTTGTGGCCAGCTAAGTACTCAAGAAGTACTAAGGAGATGCTTGTCACGAAACCTCTCTATAGCACTTGAAGGGGAAGAAAGAGAAGGGACAAATTAATCTGAGGTACTGATGATTGTTTCTTAAAGAGAACTCAAGGAGGTGAATTTCCATTTCAATTAGATTATATGTCAGATCCAAGAATAATCTTAATGAGAAGTAGTGCTGAACATTTTGAAGGGGTGTAAAGTGTTTTAAAATCAATTTTCAGGGAGAGTCACGTAGAGAACTCTCATTTCGAATTGTTTGCCTGAGTCGGAGAGAAAGCTTTGAAGTGTCATCCCGTTCTCAGTATATAATGCCCCTGAATATCATTGGATCATCCTTTGTTTATTTTTTCACTGGTTATTTTGGAAATGTTTTAAAAGAATAAGAACTACTGGGAAGTCAAGATGTCTAACTGAATGTTGTCGTTCCAGTCTTAGACTTTGGGGTAAGATTGTTATGAATGCATGTGTTTTAAAATGAGTTTATCACTTTTTAATGAGGTTTAAAAGCTAAAGGAATGGGATTGGGACCAGGAAATCATTTACTTTTAATATTATTTCTTTGGACTGATTTAGTGCAGTTACGTATTAGAAATAGAGATCTGATTTGAATTGAATCTTCATTGTTTGTTAAAAATATGGTCTGGAAAAAATTTCCTCAGCATGAAAACAGTACTAAATGACAGAATGACAAAAATAGCTATACTCCAATTCTACAGTTAAACACTTTAATTGGGAAAAGTAGCATAATTTAACATATAGAAATGCTTGACACTTCATGTGTCTTTAAATCTGTATGTCATACATTTCAGTATTAAATCAGTAGAAAATATTTCATAGAAAAAATGGTTAGCAGTAAGGTGCTGCTTGTGGGACACTGAATCCTATATGTCCATCCTGGTTCAAATCCCCAGCCCCAACATCCGGAAATGCCCTGGACACACATTCAAGTACCCACGATCCAATGGGCTGAAGGTCTAGAGAAAGGGGATCATGGCATGAACAGAACCCTAGAGGGTGCGTCTTTCTTTCTCTCTCCCTCTCTCAAGCTTGCATGTGTACACATGTGCTCCATTATAAATGAAGGGGAAACTTCTTTTAAAAGACAAATGGTTAGCTGAGAAAGATTACATAGTATGTAACTTAAGACATTGCAGAAAATTCCGTCTGTATCTTTGTTTTTAAAAAGGTTGTATTAGAGTCCTGTTGTAATGCTGGTGTTGGGGTGGATTGGAGCAAAAAGCTAAATTGCTTTTTCTTCAGCTCTTGAGAGCGCTGAGACTAGGGCATAGTTCATTGGACGGAGTGAGGCCATGTGGTCTGTGGCAGACAAAGCTTGGGATTTGAGTCTGAGGGCTTCAGTTCCATCCGTAACTTTATTTCTTGCTGGTTTTGTTATCTTGGGGCGGGGTGGGGGGGTGTTTTAAATCCTTTAGGGCTGCCTTATATTCCATTTCTACAAAACATTAAGCTTAGTATATACTGTTTATCTCAATGGCTTATTACAGATATGTCAGAAATTAATGTAAGTGAAATATGCTTTATAAGTAGAAAAACAGATTTGAGATTATTAAAAAGAAGTTCTTATTTACATGCTCTCTTATTAACAAGAAACTTACCAAGGGAAATCTGAATTAGGTGATTAGAGGAAAAGTTGACAGTTTTTAAAAAGGCAAAGAAGAAAAGTTCGTTACAAATAATTTTCACTTAGAATGAATAGAGCAAGCCTGTCGCCAGATATAATTCTATGACAGTTCATAATAGTTTCCCATTACAATTATTTTAAAATATTACTTTCTGTAGAGGTCGATGTCTCTCTTCTCTCAAAGGTACTCTTTTTATAGTAGAAACTATATTTATAATATTTTTAAGTGTTGTGATGGCTGAGTTGCATTCTGGAATTACGCAATGAATTTTTTTATAATGGAATTTTTTAATTAATTTATTTATTTTGCATTCTTTCACTGAACATCACCACAGCATACAAAATGCAATTTTCCATCCAGAATACATTGTAAACTGGCTTAATCATACATATAATCATCAACAAATAATTTCCCATTTTTTATTTCTTGTATATATTTTTTTCACTTAACACTTTGAATATATGTTCCCATTCTTTCCTGGCTCGCATTGTTTCTGATGAGAGGTCCACTGTTGGCCTGATGGGATATCCTTTGTAGGTAACTTGACATTTCTCTCTTGCCAATCTTAGTATCTTGTCTTTGTAGTTTTGGTCATTCTGGCTATAATGTGTCTTGGAGAAGATCTTCTTGGGTTGATTCTATTTGGGGTCCTTTGTATTTCTTGGGTCTGGATCTTTGAATGCCTCTCTTGGTTTGGAAAGTTTTCTTCCAGGATTTCATGGAATAGATTATCAATGCCCTTAATAGTCTCTTCACTTTCTGGGATAACGATTATCCGGATGTTTGGACGCTTAATTGTATCTAGTATTTCTTGTATATTCTCATTTTGGGGGCTTTTGCTCAGTCTTCATGGTGAATTTCACTAGTCCAATGATTCTGTCTTCTACATCTGAAATTCGATTTTTTGCATAATCTAGTCTGCTCTTAATACTATCAAGGGAGGTTTTGACTTCCTGTATTATAGCCTTCATCCCCAACAGTTCCATCTGATTCTTTTTCATGGTATGTATTTCTTCATTCAGCTCTCGCAAGAGGTTCCTCACCTCCAGGAACTCATTGGCTCTCTTCTTCCAGTGTTCATTGTCTCTCTTATTTCACCTAGACCTGTCTAGACACTCAGTGCATGGAGGCTGAGCAGCAAAGTAATGAGGTAAAAGAAAAAAGATAAGAAAACAGAAAGAGAGAAAGAAAAAAGGAAAAAGCAAACAAATATTATTTTTGTTAATTTTTAAAAACAAAAAATGAAAACCTTGTAGTATGTGAGCATGCCACATGAAAGCCCTAGATCTCAGCTCTCATGGTAGACTCAGTCTTCTTCTGGCCTGGCCTTTCGCCTTTTCTAGAAGGGAGGGAGGAGGGGATTATTACCAAGATAAAGGATGATTTTGGAGTCAAGAAAATACTTTACCTTAACAAATTTAAATAAAAGAAAAATCTAAAAAGAAAAGACAGAGAGACAGGAAAAGACAGAGAGAGACAGAGGGGTCTCTACCAAGGTGACTGCTCAGCAGAACATCTTCATTGCTCTTGTCCCTGAAAGCACTAGATTTCAGCTCTCATAGCAGTCTCAGTCTCCTTCTCAATAAATCTTTCTTGGCACATTATGGACTCAATGCTATGAAAGATTATGGAAAGTGTTTCCAACATCAGATGTCTTTATCATGCTCACTGCACATAGCTGCATGCATTATAAGTTATAAGCTTTGTAAAAGGGCTTGTGAATTGTGAATGAGAAACGTATACTATAGTGGTCACATCTTCTGAATTAGAGCACAGCTTGGCTGTCATACATACCAACTGTGCTTTTTAACCTGTGAAACCATTTGATACCAGATTGTGATTCTTATAAAACTGATGTAGCACATGGTTTAGTGAACCCAAAGTAAATTGCAGACATGCCTAACATTTTGATTATTTAAAATGACAATGTCACCAGATTAATGCTAAAAATATCTGAAATAAAATTTGGGTTTGGTACTCTTAGCTGGATCTCTAGTATTTAATCAATAATAAAACTCATTATATCTTCAGAACAAATAGAAAAACCTCCCCAGCCTTATTTTTGAGGTTCCAAGGGTGCCAAAAAAATAATTTTTCAGTTCAGAATTTTCTCACAGTTCAAACTTATCAATATACATGTAATGTAAGAATAATTCCTATTGGGGCCAGCAGGTGGCATGGTGGTTAAGGTGAAGGACTTCCATATGGCCATCTGTCGTTTGAGTCCTGGATCTGGCAATTTGCTTTCTTTTTCTCTCTCCTTTGTCTCTCTGGTGAGTGCATGTGCCCTGTAATAAATAAATATAAATCTTAAAAAAAGAATAACTCTTATTCACTTTCAAAGTAAAGCAATAATATAAAGGCTAGCTATATTTAATAATTTCAGGATATTTCAGCTATTTTTCTGAGCTATGTGATAAGTACTTTAGCTTGTGATTTTGGAAACTGGTAAGCTAACTTTTAGAGCATTGAGATTTCTTATTTGGAGAGATATGTGATTTTAAATAAGGATGCAAAAATCACATGATTTGATGAGCCATCTGATAAATGCAAATAAGACTAACTGTGAATGAGGTCTGAGTGAGAAAAATTAACATATGTAGATTACTTGGAAAAAGCTAAGTGTTCATCAGTGTTGTAGATACAGAATTTTAAATATGTTGCATGTAAATTTCTGTAGACACATTTCTGTAGTTGAAAGGATGTTCAGGAAGAAAGAATTCTCCCATGAGTGTGGTGAGGTCCTCTGTGAACAGCTTTGACAGGATGTCTCCCAGCATGAAATACAATAGGGCCATTTGACATGTCATGTTTTATGGTGGGGAGGGTCTCTAAAAACGGTAATTTTTTGGTTTGAATGACTAGAGCTATTTCAAGATATTTATGCTTTCTCATAGAATGAAGACGAACACAGACATGGTGTGTCTAAGAAACTTCAAAAGGTGCAGACCTCCTGACTGAAGCATAACTGATTTATTTGATTCATTTTTTTTTTCATTATAGTAAGTAAAAATGTTTAAAATACATTATTTGGGTCAATGTTGACTTGTATTCTTTGTTGAATAAGTATTCACTATCCATCAAATACCCTTGCCATTGTTAGAACTGTTTATGTTTTCATTCTTCCATAACTTGAGTCGTGTATCTTAAATGACTTTCACTCTCAGGACCTTTGAAAGGACAAATGAAATCATCCTGGAAGAGACCTTTGAGGCAATCTGTTTCACCCTCTTTATCCATCACAAGGAATCCCTTTGCAACATCCTTTATGATAGGTAGTCATTTTATTCATCTAGACCTTGTGTAGGACAGATCTTCTATAATCTTCCACAACAGATTGATTCAAAATAGGACTTTTTTGAGAGAGAGAGAGAGCTATTTTTGCTATTTTGCTCGCCAGATACAGAGAAAGACAAACAGAAAGTGGAAATCATCCCCCCCTCCCCGGGAGGATGACCATACCATAATCCCTTCCCCAAGCTCCTCTTGGGATTTCGGGCACACATGCACATGTGCCCAGCTTGAGTGTTAAGCCACCGGGTCCGGTACTCAAACCATGGTTGACTACATGGGAGTCCAGTGACATAACCATTACGCCACCTGCTGGTTCCCAAAATAGGACTTTTAAAGCTCCCACCTACCTAGGTCTACCTCTAGAGCAGACCTACTTGTTCTTTCATAGTGAGGTGGCTGCACAAAAATGTACAGGTAACTCCCCATTTTCCCTAGTCATCTTTTATCATAGATGAATATCAATTACCTCTGTTTCTCATAGGAAAGTATTTATAGCCAGAAGCTCTTCAATATATTTTTTTTTACCCATTTATTTGTTAACTTATAACTGAGCAGTGGTTCTAGGTGTGATCTCATAGGTAGACTCAAATAGTACTATTGCCCCTTTATCTAGGTTCACATATTGATAGGGTTAAAGGTCACAATCACTTTTCAGTATAATAGCTATCACATGATTAGCTAAAAGCATGCATTCAAGTCAACTAAAACTCCTGGGTATTTCATCCAGGAATGTTTTCCCACTCTCCCATCATGTTTATGATGTCTTGGGATCTAAGTCAAGGACTTTCTTTTCATCTCATATAATCCTCTCATTTTGGTTTTTGTCTTGCCATGACACACAATTTTTTTTTTTGGAAATATTTTTGCTACAGGTGCGTGTGCTCACCAGACAGAGAGAGACAGAGAGACAAAGCAAGAAATCACCCCCAGAGGGGATGGTCACGCCACAATCCCTTCTCCTCCATTCTCCTCTCGGGATCTTGGGCAGGCACGCACACGCGCCTGGTGTGAGTTTTAAGCCACCGGGTCCGGGACGCGAGCCACGGTCGGCTATGTGGGAATCCAGCGACATAGCCATTACGCTAACTGCTGGTTCCCCCTGACACACAATTATTTGAGTCAGTGAGGTGAGACAGAATGGGAGGAACTGAGAGTTAGAAATAGACCCACTAGGGACCAGTAGATGGCTTAGTGGTTACATTACTGGACTACCGCATGGCTGACTGTGGTTCGAGTCCTGGACCCAGTGGCTTGAAACTCACACCAGGTACATGTTCATGCATGCCCAAGCTCCCAGGAAGAGAATGAAGGAACCACGCCCTCCCAGGGAGTGATTTCTCACTTTCCTTCTCCCTGTTTCTATTTCTCTTTCTCTGGCAAGTGCATGTGCCCTATGGCAAAAAACTACAAAAAGAAAGAAATAGGTCCACTAAACCAGATAAAAAAGGGAGAGCCCTGGAAAGCTGTATAGCCAAGCCACAGGTCCTAGGAGGAGGTCGATTCCATGTAATCTATCATGCCCAGAGAGGGTACTGGCAGAAAGTGCTGCTTCAGGCCAGCAACTGAAAGCAGGGATCACAGGGTGCCCCTAGGCCAGGGGAGGGGACATCAGGGTGTGATGATCAGGAATATGTTAGGATGACCAACAAAGAGGAGATCCTGATCAATAGTGCAGGGCTTCTGGAATGGGGATCTAGACTTCAAGCAGGACACCAGTCTCCAGGAGAACTAATGAGAGCAAAAATGACTCCCATGAAAGAACTACCATTACTAGGGCTTCTAGGAACTCAGGCTAGGAGAGAGAAGACTTCAGATTCATGAAAGCCCCGGAGGAGCTCTTGGGTATGGTTTGGAGCTGGACTATCTGCAAAAGGTTACCATGCTACTGTGATAGTTTTTTCTTCCTTTTTCTTACCAGACATTTTCTATGGTCCATACATTTCCTTCTATCTTGATCTGTGCCATCTTATAGGTAATCTGGATTTTACTAGCTAGCAATTGTTTAAAAGATTAATATATGTTAAGTCTCAACAGAGAGGAATTTTTAGCAATGTTGTCTCAGTACGTTTTAGTATGAAAATACAAAATCATCTTGTTTTTCTGAAGGCAAAAGTGCCTTAATAGGATATGCCTCAATCACTTATTCTTTTAGTACTTGACCATTACAACATTGAACATGAGAGAATCCTCATGATAGTGTACTATAGCCCCCATCCCCCACCCCTTATCTGCAGTTTTGCTTTCCGTGTTTTCAGTTACTCATGGTCAACTGTGGTCTGGAAATCGTGAATGGAAAATCCCAGCGATAAACAACTCATGAGTTTTAAATTGTAGGCCATTCTCAGTAGTTGTGAAAACTCTCCTGCTCCATCCTGCCCTGGCCATGAGTCATTCCTTTGTCCACAACTCCAGGCTATATATATTATCCACCATTCATCACTCAGTAGCTGTCTAGATGATGAGATCAAAAAACTCAGCATGTGTGGGGTTCTGTACTGTCCTCAACTTCAGACTTCTCCTGGGAATCTTAGGAACACATCCCTTGAGGATATGATTTTCTTCTCTGTCCCTTTGTAAGCTCTCATCATTGTTTCCCAGATTTTAAATACTTTTAAGTTTTTAAATGCTCATGCGTTTTAATTATAAAGTGAAAACTTAGGAGCTAATGCGTTCAGTTATAGTCTGTTTGGGGTGTAGAATTGGTAGATCCCTCTGACCGTAAGGGGTAATTTTATAAATCAGAGCTTGCTTAAAAGAGGTTCATTGGGGTGATGAAAACAAGTCTCAGGCTGTAATCAATGAGCTCCAAACATGGGGTAGGATATGGAAAGGAGCTTATTCCAATATCTTGGAGAATATTTATGCGACTCCTAGAAATTCAAAGCAAAAAAAACCAAGTTTTTCTGATGAAGAAATATTGGCTCCTAGCTTTTAGTAGCCCAGCTTGGAGTTGAAATCGTGGAGGAAACTACATAATTGCCTGAAGGGATACTTCCAAAGTCATTTATAGATCCAGTCTGGCTGTCACCAAATAGTCTCCCCATCTGAGAGACTTACAGTGCAGAGTTGGGGTGGCCTATGGTTTCACATGAAACCAGAAAACTTGTATACTCTTTGATCATACCTCTTAAGCTTTACCCCTGAGCTAAATCCTACCGGGGGGG